TCAAAAGCAGAGATTATGAGGAATCAACCATTTTCAGAGTTTGCATTGACAGAGAGAGAGGACGTAAAAAAGATAAAAGATCCAGAAATAATGCCTCAGCACGTGATAGTACGAGAGTGGCTATTTGACAAAAAAAAACTGAACCAACGGTAGATCAAACAAATAATGATGGATAAATTATCAGTTAATGAAAATAGTGTTGAGAACCGCGACGATGAAGACATTTCAGATAACATAAAAAATGCATGTAAGTGTGAACGTATTTACAATAAATGTTATGACCTGTGTTTACAAAACGTATCTTTATTGAAGTTTTTGAATTTCTAAACTTCTTTGTTAAAATAATTCTGAAATCGAGTAAACATTAATTTGAATAATTAAATATAAGTCGTTGAAATGTTGTTAAATCCAATATGGAAGTATTTTACAAAAATCCAGTCTGACAAAGGCGAAGCACGTTACAATGAATATGGCAATACTCTCTTTAGGTAGTAACACTGCCGACGAACTCTAGTTCGTCGGCAGTGTGTGTGGTTTGAAAAATCATCTTGATCATGAGCGTCAAATGCAAGCGTAACTTAAAAAACCTTGAATAAATAGAACAGCAAACATTTTTGCCTATAGGCATTGCAGCCAATTTTCCTGCCTTGAACCTGCTGCTCGAAAGTACTTATCAGCACAAGTGTTGCAAGCTATTCAGCTCTGCAGGACGAATCTGCAGGCAGATCGTCGTAGCAATCTTGTTGGAGAAAAAGTTGAGAAACTTTTATTTCTTGCATACATTATAGGTTTATTTAATAATAATAACAAAAGCTGTTACAGTAGTGACTGTAACAGCTTTCAATTATTCATCCAATAATTGAATCTATACAGTTTTTAAAAATCAACAACAACATTGGAAACATTGGCAAGTGGGAGTGCTAATAAACAAGGCAGGAATTTGAATTCAACTATTAAACCAAAACTGTCACTTTCAAATAAGATTTAAGATTCGTTGGATTCTGTTTTTTTTTGCATTTAAGAAAACATTTGTGTCCGCTATTATTTTCACATCATTTTATCTTTCTATATTTATTTTTGATTTCATTTTATTGAAAAAATGTTTTGAAGTAATTGTTTAAATTTTAATAATGGATATTATATATTAAAAAGCTATATAAATAATATTTTATTAAAAATAACAATATTCGGTTTCGGCCAAAAATATTTTCATAACTTCGGCTTTTATTCGGTTTTTACCAAAACAGTAAAAACAGTTTCGGTTGGTCAGGAGTAGTAATAGTAGTAATAGTAATAGTAGTAGTAGTAGTAGTAGTAGTAGTAGTAGTAGTAGTAGTAGTAGTAGTAGTAGTAGTAGTAGCAGCAGCAATTTATTAAAAGTAGTAAAAGTAAAAATAATAAAAGTAAAAATAAAAAGCCCGAACCATCGGAAAAAGTGACTGCAGTGACTTCATCGGCCGCATTGTTCTCAGCTCCATCGGCTGATATCGCAACGACGCGAATGTTATAATTCGTAAACTTCCTCAAGGATTGTAATTGGTGGACCATTTTTACGGAAGATGACGTCACTGATGATGTCACTGACGATGATGATGGGAGAACAAATGTTTCCATGCTTTCAACATCGTCGCTATAAATTATTTTAAATTTTGATGCTGCGACGAAGTTTTGTTGTTGTTGTTGTTGAGATGACGTCATCTCCCACGTGACCTGGATTGAGGTGGACGAGAGGGCGACCGCCTGTAGATTCTGAGGCGCTGCAGGTCTTAATTCTGATTGGATGGTTGTTTTAATCGAACGAGTAGTATTCGACGAATCATATGACTCGGATTATTAAATAATGTAGCTCAATCATCATTCAATTAATAAACCGACCAAACAGCCGCCAATCAATCAACTTGCCAATAAGCCATCTGGAAAATCAACTAACCATACCCCTAACCAACCTTCCTCTTTGGTTTTGACCTGGATCTCTCCAGACCAAACGCCCACAGCACCCGAGGCATCACGTGACCAGAGGGCCACATCGTAATTGGTTGATGACTTTAAATTATACAGCGTGGCTTCTTGCAGAAACGACGACGATGACGACGACGACGATGATGGCATCAAGGTTACGTTCATCAGTCTGATTCTATGAAAAGATTCATCCGTGGAAATGGAAAAACGTTAACGTCCGAAAATTCTTAGTATAAATATTTATAAATGAACCTGTAAAAATAAAAACAACATCCCGCCAACCTCCCGTCATCAATGTCGTCACTTCCGGAAACAATAACTTCCCGCCACCTGGCGACAAACCCCACAATCTTCGCATCATCGTTAGCAGCAGACCACCTCCAAGACACGATAACATGATCGCTAGCAATATGAACAGCACTCAAGTTCAACAACCGTGTCGGGTCAAAGTTCACGGAAAATTTTCTTGACCCAAGCTCGCTAGTTTCGCCTTCGTCACGTACGATCAAATGCATAGCCGACTGAACGTTCCCTATATCATTCTCGATGAAACATTGATACACGCCGCTATCTGATACTTCCAATCCTAAAATCCGCAAGTCCCAACCGTCCAGCATAAAACCGGAAGTCGTTGAGGGGTCCAGTTTGCGGCCATCTTTCAACCATTTGAATGTAGGGTTGGGGCGAGAGTAACCATCGCAGTTCAGTTGGACGTCGGTGTATATGGGGGCCACAGTGTTGCTGGGGCGTGCCCTCAATTTCGGAGGGACTGTTGCGGTGGTGGTTATTGTTATTGTTAGTATTAATATTATTATTGTTGTTTCTAACAACCAACCAGCCAACCAACCAGCCAACCAGCCAGCCATCCAGCCAGCCAGCCAGCCAGCCAGCCAGCCAGCCAACCAACCAACCAACCAACCAGCCAGCCAGCCAGCCAGCCAGCCAGCCAGCCAACCAACCTAGAACATTGACCAGAGAGTGGCTATCAATGGAGTCTTCATAATTGTACGCCCGGCACGTGTACATTCCTTCATCGTCTTCCGTCAGCCCGTCTATGTGCAAACTACTTTCACCCACTATGCTAAATCTAGGGTCTGATCTGTGATGATGATGACGACGACCACGGTGGTGGTGGTGATGAAGAAGACGGTGATGGTGATGATGGCGAGGAATGATGGTGAAGAATGATGGTAACGTTGATGATGACGAAATGATGCTGTGATGTTTATTTAAGCACATACAACAAAATTTATATGTAGGGTCAGGGTTATAATTATAAATATAAAATAATTATGTTATAAATGAGTGATGTTGTAAATAAAATGATAGTAAATCATAAAAAGGTTAATTATAATGATAGTTGTAATGCTAATTATAGGCCTAACTTTAGATCAAGAGTGATTCCATTCTTGAGCCACACAATTCTGGCCTTCCTTCCAAATCTATCCCTCCCATTGGCTGCGCAGAGTAACAATAACTCCTCCCCCTCAACTTTCGACCAATCATGTGGCCTTACGGTGAAATAGGGCGGAACTCTTTCGTAGGTTGCTATGGCAAAAAAAGACCATCAATACAATAGCAATAGCAACGAAAACTAAGGTAACAATAACAACAATAATAAAAAGAATAACAAAAGAAATAACAAAAAAAATAATAACAACAATAATAAAAATAATAATAAACCCCAAATCCCTCAAACGTACATATATTAACGTTCTGCTGCAGAATTATTTCGCCGACTAGGGACGATGAAGAAGAAGAAGAAGAGGACGACGACGACGATGATGATGACGATGACGATAGTTTATCATCGTAGCCAACTTTACACTTGTACTTCCCGAAGTCCTGAAACAGCACGGATTTGATCTCCAAGTATCCGCCGTCGACCCGATGAAAAACGTGGTTCGAATTCGATCCGTCAATCCTGACACCATCTTTGAACCATTCGTTAATTATCAGCGGCCAGGGAGATGATGATAATGATGATGATGGTGATGATGGTGATGATAATGAGGGTGGTGGTGATGATGACGATGATGGTGGCGGTGGTGATAGTAGTGACGACGACGGCGCATTAAAGCAGCTAAGTGTCGCGACGTCATTCATGTAGACAGAAACTGTCTTGGAGATGACTTGACTGCTGCTGAATCGGGGCAGAGCTAGTGTGGGTAGGTAGGTTGATAGATTGGTATCGTAATTAATTAATTAATTAATTATAATTAATAAATGATAAAATGAAAGCAAATAATAATAACAATTATTATAATTATTACTAAATTATCGTTATTATTAACATATGGCAAAACAGCAGAGAAACCATATTTATTTGAACGCAATTTTTTAAAAGAATAGTAACAGTAAAAATATGTGTGCGTGTGTGCTGTGTGTGTGTCTGTTTGTATGTGTGTGTGCGTGTGTGTACATGTGTATATGCGTGTATTTATCGGAGCGTATGAGCGTTTTTTGATGTTTAAACGTGTATCATTATGTATTTCAGTGCGCATATGTGTGGATGTTTGCTTGTGAGTGTGTGTGTGTATGTATGTATGTATGTATGTATCTATGTACGTATGTATGTATGTTTGTATTTATGTTTGTATTCATGTATGTATGTCTGCCTGTATGTATGTATGAATGTATGTGTGTGTGTGTGTTTATCCAGGCTTATATGTTTGTTTAATTTCCTAGCCTGGAAGCGTTTGAAACATTTTTTTATGATAACATCAAAGGAGAAATTACATTTGATGATGACGATGATAAAGAAGAGGAAAAAGAGATAGTGATGATGATGGTGGTGATGATGGTGATGACGTCATATCGTTGATAACAGAAATCATGACAGCTAGATTTAATGCAGATAATAATTTATCACTTGCTTCTCGTGATTAATCACCTTCAAAAAAATTTTACACTCGCACACACACACAAACACACATACACACACGCGTACACACATACGTACACACATATACGAACATGAATTTATGAATGCATGCATGTAAGATAGAAGACATATATCATGTATATTTCTTATCATAATTATTTTATTTGCTTGAGAATGATGTGATGGTGAAGATGGTGAAGATGATAGTGATGATGGTGATAATAATGATAATAATAATAATTAATGATGACGATGATGATGACATCACGTTACATCATCTTTTATAAATGCGAGAAAGAAATTATCATGATGATTCAGAGGGTGATGATGATGACGATACAGATGGCGATGATGATGATGACCTACAAGTGATGAGTAACACAATGAAAGCAGGAAAAAGATCACCAATAGCAATCAGAATGTTTGCCTTGGAATAACTCTTTTGATTGATTAAACGCCAACTACAGAGATGTCATCATCACCATTATCGTCGTCGTCATCATCATCATCATCATAATCGTTGTCGTCATCATCATCATCATCATAATCGTTGTCGTCATCATCATCATCATCATTATCGTCGTCGTCATCATCATCATCATCATAATCGTTGTCGTCATCATCATCATCGTCATCATCATCATCACCATCGTCATCACGATTATCGTCATCATCATCCTCATCATCTCTCCTTTCATCACAACCATTACAGCCACCAAACCACCAACACCTTCGCCACAACTAACCAATCAGAATCAGTCTGGCCCTCCGACTCATAACGACTCCGACTCCATCTAATGAGACCTCGCAGTGGTACCAACCCTCCTCTAGCCTGCCTTCCAGCATCAACGAACCGTTGCTCAAAAATTTCCTATTATTATTATCATTATTATTATTGTTGTTGTTGTTGTTGTTGCTGCTGCTGTTGTTGTTGTTGTTATAATTTTGATTATTTATTATTATTATAATTTAGAATGATAGAATTTTATAATTATTTCATTATTGACATTTGGTATTTGGAGTTAGAAAATAGAAGGATGTTCTCATTATTAGCATTATTATTATTATTAGTAGTAGTAGTAGTGGTAGTAGCAGTAGTGGCAGTAGTAGCAACAGCTGCAGCAGCAGTAGTAGTAAGTAGTAGTAGCAGTATTATAAAGGATATGAGTTAACATCAGTTAACAAGCCAGCCAACCAACAGATCCAATCAGGCATACAAACCTCTTGTCATAGACTATGGGAAGGTCTTCATTTTTGAACCAGCGACGACTTATTTGTAATCTTCGACTGGCCTGTTGATCGTTTAGCAGGCAATCGAATACCACGACGTATTTATTATCTTTGGTGGCTGCTGTCGCCGCTACAACGACATCTTGCGGCTCGGCGACAAACGTTAAATCGTACAGTTGTGTTGCTGTAGGGAGTATGTTTCTTTGTTGATGCAACTGCTGCCCGTACACTGAAACAAAATAGCAGTAATAATAATAATAATAATTGCTATAATAATAATCATAATAAAAATATGAATAATGAAATGCGTGTGTGTTTGTGTGCGTGCGTGTGTGCGTGCGTGTGTGCGCGCGTTTCTTTAAATCATCGGAATGGCGTGAATAGCGATTTGAAATGTAAACTGAAAATCATGTGTGCAAATGGAATTGCCTTCAAGAACTGCTTTCAGTTTAAGATGAAATAATAATAATGGGTGGATAAAATAGTGAATTTCATTCAGGCCAAAACTGAGATGAATGAATATGTGAATGAATGAATGAGTGAATGAGTGAATGAATGAATGAATGAATGAATGAATGAATGAATGAATGAATGAATGAATGAATGGTTGAACGAACGAACGAATGAATGAATGAATTAATGAATGAGTGAATAAATAAAAAAATGAATAAAAGAAGGAAAGAAAGAAGGAACGAAGGTGTGTGTATGACCCGCTGCTTTCTACGGCGTTAAAGTAAACTGCATGGAAAAATGTTTTAAATCATTTCCAGTTTTGATGAGCAGATAAAATATTCATCCTTCGCTTGGCATGCAACTTACACGCACACACAGACACGCACACACAGACACGCACACACAGACACGCACGCACGCACACCAACACATTTTGAATGGCGAAGCAATTTATTTTACACACCATCATTAATAATGTTTCATTTTCAAATGTAGCAGCAATTATTATAACTATAATAACAACAACAATAATAATATTATTATTATTAATTATTATAATTATTATTATTATTTTTGAAATTTTTTCAGGGTATCATCAAACGTGAAATTCACCCATCGAGTGTGGCACAGCCAGCGTTTGATAACGTTTGATCTCTGACGTTTTGAAAAAGTAACAAATCTAGCACTACTATTACTACTATTACACTCACGCACACACACACAACACACACACAACACACAGACACACACACACAACACACAATACACAGACACACAGATAACATAACACACAAATGCAACACAACAACGTATTCAATTAGTGCTAGCCTATGCGATGAACTATAGTATATAGTAATGAATTATGTGTATGTGTGAGTGTATGTGTGCTTGCGTGCGTGTGTGTGCACGTGCATGTGTATATTTCATTCATTTATTTGATTGCGTTGG